CTAATTGGAAGTAGAGTAATAGTGAGAAAGATAATGCTAGGGTTTACCGTGAATTTTCGAATTTGGTGAATAAATTAATAAGATTGTTCTAGGAAGAGAGAGAATTTTAATACAATTGGGGAAATTTGAAATAGGGTTTTAGAAATTGGGAAGAAAAAAAAAATTTGAAACGGGGTTTGTGTTGGGAGTGGTGATGGTTCTTTTTACAGAGCCGTCAGAGATAATTTGGGGGAATCTTCCGGCGTATTTTTACTCCGAGGTCTCAAATATTACGGAGTAAACCCAAGACGGCAAGAACAGTGTAATAATAGCCCAATACATCTAACCTAGAAGGCTAGAACCACAAAGAACGTAGAGAGAAAGAGGTTGTGAAATGGTGGGTGTGCTCGGCTAGGTTCGACCCATGGCACAGTCATTTAAAAAAATGTTCAGTTACGAATTTCAAAGTACTCCGTAGTGAAATATGCACGGTTTGTGTTTATGTGTTCGTAGTACGGAGACTACATGTTTCGGTAATATTTTATTTTTGGGAAATTTTCAATGGTCGCCCTCTATTTTTGCTTATTTTCAATGGTGGCCAATATTTATTTCGATTATCTTTGGTAGCCATATACTTTTATAAATTTTCAACCGTAGCCTTATTAAGCCTAAATCCGTTAAATAGCCGTTAACTTTAACCACAATTAACCCTTATCTCTATTTAACCATTTTCTTTCTCATTCCCTTATCTTTGATGGCTGCCAGGCGCCTGCCAGGCTGCCACCATGCACTAACCCCAAAACCCTCCACCAGCAACACCTTCCACCGCAAAAAACCACCCCCTCTCCATCCCCTCCACCGCAACCTCCCCCGAAATCGGCCATCGCCAACCCCAAACCCCACTCAAAATACCCTCCACCCACAAAAACCACAACCCACCAAAACCTCACCCACGAAAAATCCCCCCACGAAACTAGTTGGCCACCCACCAAAACCCCACCCAAGAAATCCCCAACCCACAAAAACACCATCCGCCAAAAACCCACCCACGAAAAATACTCCCTTTCCCACGAAACCGATCACCCATCAAGACCCCACCCAAGAATCAATTTTTCTAGTGCTTGAATTAGGGTGTGGCTTTGATGTTCAATTATCCAATAATGGTGCTAAAACTGTTAATCCATAAGGAGGAGAGAGAATCAAGAACCCTAATTTTTTTTTTTTTTTTTTTAAGAGGAAAGAGGGGAATGAAAATGGAGGGGGATTGCTCTGACTAAACTACAAGCACTACGTTTTTTTTTTTTTTGAAAAAGTTAACCTTAGTTTCTTAGGGTCTGTTCTCTTACGTTGAAATTCAGTTCATTTCAGTTTAGTTCAGTTCAGCTCCTAATTTCCTTCACTTAGCTTATAAAATATTCAGTTCAGTTCAGTTCAGCTCAGCTCAGTTCACTTCAGTTCAGCTGAGTTCAGTCTATGAGAACAGGCCCTTAGTCATGTTAGATTTAACGGAATTTTAATGAAAAAATATCAGTAAGGTTACGGTTAAGAATTTATAAAAGTATATGGCTATTAAAAATAATCAAAATAAAAATTGGTTACCATTGGAAATAAGCAAAAATAGAGGGCTATCATTGAGAATTTCCCTTTATTTTTTTTTGTTCTTTTTAACTAAAAATGTATCAAGTGGACGATCTACAACTCGTCACATATGATAACGTATATGTGAGTTCATACTTATTTCTCATATTATGTTTTTTTTCTTGTAATGCCTTTCTTTAATCAAAAGTCATGTGAGTAGTCAATAGTGTGTCCTTTTTCAAATGAATATACTTTTTTTTAATAAATATGATTCATAGTCCTCAAAATAGAATTACTCAATTTTGATTCAAAAGTATTATCAACACAATAGTAAAGTGTAATTTTATATGTTTTTTTTTTATTATTATTGACTATGGTATTTTTACATTCTCATTTGCATAAGCATGCATGGTGTTTACATGAATCAACAAGCCCGACTTTGAATCGGTTTTTTCTTACCCTCTTAACAAGGCCCCCAAAAATCAGGGGCCTATAATTTGTATACAAAAAAACATTGACTCATTAAAAAATCATAATCTTACCTATTCACCTTTTTCCCGTATAAGACCACCATTTTCAAACTAAAACCCAAAAAAATAATCCAAATCTGACTTTGCCTTTTAATTTCCAAAACAAAATTAAATTGATTATGAAGATATAATTTGCTTCACGAATGTTGGAAGGATGATACTTTTTAAATAAAAAGTTTTTGTTTCTTGTTTTATTGAATTATTACTAAACGTAATAAGATGAACATTTTAGCTCTATTTTTTTTTTTTTTTGATCCAAATGAGGAAAAATTCCAGAAATACAAAGAAAAAGAAATCAAAGACTAACTGAAAAACAAAGAAAAACACACCAACTACCAACAGGCTAAGTAAAGCTAAGGCGGTACTAGGCGTGGTAAGGCCACTCCCCTAGCATCTTCCGCCAAAATCCTACTAAGCTCTAATGGTACCGTCTCAATTAACAATATTCCGGTGTCTTGAGTGACTCCGCGGTTGGCTAACCAATCCGTCGCGCGATTGCCTTCTCTATAAATATGAGCAACTTTTATCCTCCAATTGGCGTCCTTGAGCATCTTTTGGCATAGAGTAAGTTCATGATAACATTCACCTCTGCTTATGTTATCCTTTTGAAGAATTTGGACACAAGATAAGTTATCCAACTGAACTTCTAATTGTTGAATCTGGAGATTACGAGCAATTTTTAGACCATTAGTCAAGGCTAGAACCTCAGCTCTAAATGCACTGCAAATTCCAAAATTAGCAGTTATTGTCGAGACAAAACCACCTCGATGATCACGAATTATTGCTCCTCCACCAGCTGCCCCCGGACTACCCTTCGAAGCACCATCACAGTTCAAGACATACCAGTCTTCATTGGGAGGTAACCAACTTACATTGATATTTTGTCGAGGCCCATGGCTCTGGTTCCCATTGCGTGATCCCAGGATGCTTCGACGGGTTTCATCATATCTAATTTGTAGGAAAGCTCCTATGTCTATTGGGATTTCGTCTTGTCTATTAAACACGAGGCAGTTCCTCCACCTCCAAATCCACCAAGTTGCTATTCCAAAGTAGAAGCCCAACTCTCTTCATCCATATGGTCCATATTTTTACTATGTCTCATGATCCAATCCTTTAATGAACCTTGGAAAAAGGCGTCAAAGACTGATTGTGAGAGGATCTTGCGCCACACTACCTTAGCAGCTGAGCAATCACGAAGGATGTGCAAAGTACTTTCTTCACTCGCACCACAAATATAACACTTTGGACTGTCGGTTAGCTTGCGCTTAAATCTGTTTAAATTCCCAAGTAGCCGATCGTGGCAAGCTAACCAAAGAAAGGCTCTAACTCGTTGTTGCACAGGTGCCTTCCACACTATATCCCAACATTCTTCATCTAAAGTGTCTATTTCGTGTCGCATAATACTTAGCACAGAATCGATTGTGAACTTGCCTTTGGAGTTTGCTTTCCAATAAACAAGATCACCTAAGTTGGGATCAACTTTGACTTCAAAACTCTGAATAATTTTCAGCGTCTTTTCATCCAAAAAAGGGCTGAAACTATTCCATCGCCATCCTTGATTTACCTCCCACATCTCAGCTACAGTTGCACCCGCAATCTCCAAAGGCAGGGGCTGAGTTACCAAGTCACTCAAGGGCTGATCCGTGGCCCAAATATGGTCCCAAAACAAGGTGGATGTACCATTGCCTATAGCCGTTTTCATCCCCTTACTCAAGAATTTAGCATTTTTTGTTATTCCGCTCCAGACATTCGAACACCCTGGTTTTGGCTCAAACATATCAACATCACAACGGCCCTTACAATATTTTGCACGGAGTACACTAGACCAAAGTGAGTGTGGCTCTGTAAGGATTCGCCAACCCAGCTTGGTTAGCAAGGCAACATTAGCTTGTCTAGCCGAAAAAATACCAGTGCCTCCTAACCTTTTCGGTTTTTGGAGAACTTCCCAGGATAACAGGTGCATCTTTCTCGTGTCTTCATTGCCACCCCAAACAAATCTCCTCGTCTTTTTGTCTATCGAGTCACAAATTGATCGAGGAATTTTTGCAGATTCCATAGAGTAGAAGGACATAGTTGAGATAGTAGATTTGGCTAAAGTGATGCGGCCCGCTAGAGATAAATATTTTGTCTTCCAACCCGCAAGCCTACGATCGATCTTTTCGCATAAGTGGCTGTATGTATCTTTAGTTACCCTACTTGTCAAGGTAGGCATGCCTAAATACATTCCCAAATCTTCAGTGGCTTCCATGCCCAAAGCCACACTAATCTCGCTTTGCAAATTAATGTTTACATTACCAGAAAAATACACCCTTGATTTTGCCAAGCTAACCTTTCGGACTAGTTCAGCTTGTTGAATACTTGCTTCTGCAAATAATACTATATCATCGGCAAAAAACAAGTTTGATAAAAGAGGACCTCCCCTACTAGCCCGGATTGGGATCCAATTTCCAGAGATAATCGCTTCTTCAATGACTTGGTAAAGGCGCTCCATACACATTACAAATAGATACGGAGATAGGGGGTCGCCTTGGCGAATTCCTCTACTTGGTTTGAAGCTCCTAGAGGGTTCACCATTCCACAAAATTTGCAACGATGCAGTAGTTATACACTCCATAATAAGATCCACCATCGTTATTGGCAAATTCATTTGGACCAATGTATCCCTAATGAAAGACCAACGAAGCCTATCATAAGCCTTCTCAAAATCGATTTTAAGAGCCATGTAACCCTTTGTTCCCTATTTCCTACGCATAGTATGGATAACCTCTTGCATTATCACAATATTATCCGTTATTTGTCTTCCCGGAACAAAACTAGCTTGCGTATTGGAGATCAAATAGGAAGAATTGGCTTCAAGCGATTAATAATCACTTTTGTTATAATTTTGTATGCCACATTACACAAGCCAATGGGTCAAAATTGAGAAGCTAGTTCGGGATGATCCACCTTCGGGATTAACGCAATGAAGGTGTCATTAAGATTAGTAGGGAACCCCTTCCCTTCCAATATTGGAAGAATGGTATTATACACAGTAACCGAAATAAGGTCCCAATTTTTCTTGTAAAACAAGACTTGAAAACCGTCTGGGCCAGGAGCCTTTAGTGTTGCCATTTCGTTGACCACCAAATCAATTTCAGTTCTGGTATAGTATTTTGTCAGGGTTGACCAATCATTTGAAGATAATTCTGGGAATATATCACTTGTCACATCAAAATACTCAGGCTCTCCTTCTTCGGTGAATAAGTGAGTAAAATACTCAACTATGTTTTCTTGAATGTCTAACTTATCATGAAGCCACTGCCCTTCATTATTTTTCAATGCTGCTACCTTATTTTTCCAACGACGCACTATCGTACTTAGGTGGAAAAAGGTAGTATTTCTATCCCCATCTTTCAACCATGCAATCCGGGATTTTTGATACCAAATCATTTCTTCTCTTTCAAGAATTTCATCTAAATCCCTCCTTAATTTCAATTCAAGCTTTATCAATCCACGGTCTACACGAGTGGCTAAATTTTTTTGAATGCCTCCAATCCTAGCCATGAGCATTCTTTTCTGTTTATAAACATTGCCAAAGGTGTTGCGATTCCAATTTTGCAATTTGCTGGAAAGGTTTGCAAGGGCAGGTATTAATGGCGCATTTTTTTCCCAGGATTTATCCACAAACTCTCGAAAATTTTCATGGGACATCCAAGCAGCCTGGAATCTAAAAGGACAGTGAGTGGCTTGCAATGGTACAAAACCATTAGGAGAGATAAAAATTGGACAATGATCGGAGTGAATCGCAGTAAGGTGTTTCATTGAGGCCTTGTCAAATCTTACTGCCCAAGCTGAATTACAGAGAGTTCTGTCAAGTCTTCCACTTTGACGAGTTTCCGGAGATCGCCCGCGAGCCCAGGTGTGAGCCGCTCCAGAAAATTCCACTTCAATCAATTCAAGATCATTCACCCACTCGTTGAACAAAGCTGATCTACGAGTTGTCTCACGACAAGAAGTATTTCTCTTCGATGGAAATCTTGTTTCATTGAAATCCCCTGCTATCAACCACGGGTTGCTATTATTGCTTGCAAATTTATTAAGTTCCTCCCAAAGATCACGTCTCTTGGTTGGATCCGGACTCGCATAAACAGCCGAAAAATACCAAGGGGTAGCCCCAACTCTAGTGATTTCCATAGTGATATGTTGGTTATGCTTTATAATTGGACTTACAGTAACTAAGTCCGTTTTCCAGTACACCCATATACCACCACTAAATCCAACTGCATCCACTCTAGTATGACCATCATATCCCAAAATTGTAGCAATTTTGGTTGCTTGATCCCCACCCATGTGTGTTTCAACAAGGGTTAATACATTAGGATTATTAGTAGTACGGACTAAGTCTATCAAGGAGGAAATAAAATTGGCAGTTCCCGCTCCTTGAACATTCCAAACCATACAAGAATTGGTAATGAATCTGGAGCCAAATTAGGTAAAGTGTCTTCCATTAAAACAGGTTGTTGATAAGTATATTAGGTGACTCGTACTTCGTAGCTTTGTCCGCCCGATCGGGCGGACATTGCCCGGTCTGACCGGGCGGAAGAAGAAGAGGTGCCTGGCAAATTCGTTGAAGAAGCTGCTCTCGCGCCCGACCGGGCGAGCCTTCGCCCGACCGGGCGAGCCTTCGCCCGATCGGGCAGACCTTGCCCGGTCTGACCGGGCGGTGGGGGTTGGATACGTTGAAGCATTCGTATGGAGTTTTCTTCTCGCGCCCGATCGGGCAGACCTTGCCCGGTCTGACCGGGCGGAGAAGGAAAAATACGGAACGCGGATTTTGCGGTTTTAGGTTATCTTATTTTATTATCTTTTTGCCCAAGTATCTTTTAATTAGGGATTAATATAAAACCTCCCTAATATCAGTATTAGGGTGAAGAGAGACAGAGTGAAAGCCGTTCTTGAGAAATACAAGAATCATCTTTGTAATCTTTGCAGTTTATAGTGAAATCATTCGATCTCGGTGCCCGTGGACGTAGCTATCACATCGATAGTGAACCACGTAAATTCTTGGTGTTGTTCTTATTGTTTGCATTGAATTTCTTTATTGTTTTCTTGTTTGTTTTCGACCTTTGCTTCCGCTGTCGCACAACAATTGGTATCAGAGCTCAGGTTCAATCCTTGGAGAGTTTCTTGAAGATAACAATGGCAGGAGATTCAACAATAAGAATTGAGAAGTTTACCGGGAAAAATAGTTTCGGGCTATGGCAAATTAAGATGAAGGCTCTGTTAAAACAACAGCAGATATGGCGTCCGTTGGCTCCAAAGAGTACTACTTCGGAGTCAGGAGACGGACCGACTGACTCGCAGTTAGAAGTTATGGAAGAGAAGGCACACTCTACCATATTACTTAGTCTTGATGATCAAATCATCACGGAGGTTGCTGATCAGGAAACGGCGGCTGGATTGTGGCTGAAGCTGGAGTCATTGTATATGACTAAGTCGTTGACCAACAAATTATTACTGAAACAGCGGTTGTTTAGCCTCCGGATGCAGTCAGGTACTTCCTTACGGGAACATCTAGAAAAACTTAACTCTATTTTGCTTGATTTACGTAATTTAGATGTTAAAATTGATGATGAGGATGCTGCGTTGATTTTACTTGTATCTCTACCGTCTAGCTTTGAGAATTTTGTAGAGTCTTTTGTTGTTGGTAAGGATTCTATAACCTTAGAAGAAGTGAAGGCAGCACTTCATACTAGGGAACTCAGAATGAAAGCTACGAGTGATAATGGGGATAATGGTAGTGGGTTATTTGTTAAGTCCGGAAAGTCTAAAAAGAATAAGGGGTTTAACAAGGGGAACAATGCTGGGTCGGGTGCTGGAAACGGCAAGGATGGATCTAGTAAAACTACTACTAAAACATGTTATTACTGTAAAGAACCGGGTCACTTTAGGAATAATTGTCCGGTGAGGAAAAACAAGTCCCAGGCTGCTGTAGTTGAAGAGAAACCGAATGAGAGCTATAATTCAGAGGAAGATTTAGCATTAGTCAGTTCTGCTAGGTCTGATGATTTATCTGATAACTGGGTTCTAGATTCGGGGTGTTCGTTCCATATGTGTCCACGTCGAGATTGGTTTGATACATATGAACCTCGCAATGGGGGTATGGTTATAGTCGGTAACAATGCTCCATGTAAGGTCACAGGTATTGGTTCCATGAGGTTGAGGACTGTTGATGGGCGGAGGTTAACTTTGACTAATGTACGGCATGTTCCTGCTTTAGGAAAGAATCTGATTTCATTGGGTACCCTGGATGAATTGGGGTACAATGGTGTGTTTTCAGATGGGGAGTTGTGTATTTTCAGAGGTTCTGAGTTGGTACTTAAGGGTATCAAAAGGAACACCCTCTATGTTTTTGAGGGTGTTACACTGCCTAGTTCTGCGGTTTGCGCATCTGTATCTCACCAGGAGATGACTAAGATTTGGCACATGAGGCTTGGTCATATGGGGGAGAAGGGGATGCAGCTATTGTCCAAGAGGGGTCTTCTATCCGGGGTCAAGGTTGCCAACCTTGAATTTTGTGAGCATTGTGTGTTTGGTAAGAAACACAGGTCAAAGTTCAGCAAGGGTGCTCACATTACTGATGCAGTGCTCGATTACATCCATTCAGATTGCTGGGGTCCATCTAGAGTTGAAGGTATGGGAGGTTACCACTATTTTGTGTCATTTGTTGATGACAAGTCCCGATACACATGGCTTAGGTTGCTTAAGTCAAAGGATGAGGCCTTCAAAGTTTTCAAGCAATGGAAAGCTTTGGTGGAAAATCGACAAGGAAGGAAGATCAAGAAGCTACGAACGGACAATGGGCTAGAGTTTTGCAAAGACGAGTTTAATCAGTTCTGTGCAGATGAGGGTATAGGTCGGCATCATACTGTCAGGAAGACACCACAGCAGAACGGTGTAGCAGAACGGGTTAATCAGACACTGCTAGAGAGAGTTCGATGCATGCTCTCTAATGCAGGGCTTGGGAGGAGGTACTGGAGTGAAGCTGTGTTAACAGCTTGTTATGTCATTAATAGGGGTCCTCATTCTGGAATTGATTCCAAGATTCCGTTTGAGATCTGGAGTGGTAAGTTGCCTAATTTTTCGAATTTGAAGATTTTTGGTTGTGTTGCTTATTATCATGTTATTGAGGGTAAGCTGGATCCACGAGCCAAGAAGGGGTGTTTTGTTGGGTACGGGGATGGTGTGAAGGGGTTTAGAATTTTTTCACCTTCGGAGGGTCGGGTCATTCTTAGTAGGGATGTTACTTTCGATGAAAACACCATGTATTCAATTAAAAATGCAGAGATTTCAGATTTGAGAAGGGAAGGAGACAATTTATTACAGACAGATGGGGTACTTGAGGTACATCAGTCTACCATTGCTGATTTACCTCGGGTACAATATATTGATGATGATGCTGATGTTCCAGTGCCGGGTACTCCTGAACCTGAGATTACTCCTACTCATTCTAACTCTGGGGATGAGGTGGAGCAATCTAATCAGGGGTCATCTAGTCAACCTGACACCATTCTTGAGATGCCTAAACGAGTTATCAAGAAGCCTGTTAGATTGATTGAAGAGATGGAGGGAAGAAATTGCTGTGTTGATGCGATGACAGGTTATGCATTGAGTGTAGCTGATGATGTAGAGTCATTTGAACCTGCCACATATAAACAAGCAATTAGTTGTAGTGAGTCTGCGCAATGGCTTGCCGCAATGGGTGAAGAGATGCAGTCTCTTTACAAGAACAGAGTGTGGGAACTGGTAAAGGTACCGGAAGGGAGGAAGCTTGTGGGTTGTAAATGGATTTACAAGAAGAAAGAAGGGTTGTCGGAAACTGAGCAAATACGTTTTAAGGCTAGGCTAGTTGCTAAGGGGTTCAGTCAGGTAGAAGGGGTTGATTTTGTTGAGATATTCTCACCTGTGGTTCGACATACTTCTATCCGTGTGTTATTGTCAATTGTAGCACATTTTGATCTTGAGCTGGAGCAGTTGGATGTTAAAACGGCTTTCCTTCATGGCGATTTGGAGGAGGAGATTCTGATGAAGCAGCCCGAAGGATTCGAAGCTCCTGGAAAGGAACACTATGCCTGCAGATTGCTAAAGTCATTGTATGGACTTAAGCAATCCCCCGACAGTGGTACAAAAGGTTTGATTCTTTTATGGTTTCACAAGGTTTTGACAGGAATTCATATGATTGCTGTGTGTATCATAGTAAGCTGGATAATGGTTCCATGATTTATCTTTTGTTATATGTTGATGACATGTTGGTTGCCACAAAGAATAAATCTGATATTGCTAGATTAAAGGAGATGCTTAACTCGGAGTTTGACATGAAAGACTTGGGTGCAGCTAGGAAGATTTTGGGTATGGAGATCTACAGGGATCGGGCTAGAGGTAAGCTTTTCTTGACTCAGAAAAGCTACATTGAAAAGATTTTGTCTCGTTTTGGGATGGAAAAATCGAAGCCTATAAGTACGCCAACTACTGTTAGTTGTAAGTTGTCTTTGTCTATGTCACCTCAATCAGAGGAGGAGTTGTCTTATATGTCTAGAGTTCCATATGCAAATGCGGTTGGTTGTTTGATGTATGCTATGGTCTGTACTAGGCCGGATATTGCGCATGCCGTTAGTGTTGTAAGCAGGTTTATGGCTCGACCTGGGAGGGAACACTGGCAAGGGGTGAAAAGGATTTTTCGCTACCTGAGAGGGACAGCTGATATTGGTCTTGTGTACGGGAATGATAAGGAATGCTTGGTCACTGGGTACAGTGATTCTGATTATGCAGCTGATGTGGATACCAGGAGGTCTGTGACTGGTTATGTGTTCACTTTGGGTGGTTCTGTGGTTAGTTGGAAGTCTACATTGCAGTCATCAGTTACGTTGTCAACTACTGAAGCTGAGTATATGGCTTTAACTTCTGCAGCTAAGGAGTCTATTTGGCTCAAAGGCCTAGTAGGTGAACTGGGTATTGCACAGGATTTTGCTACAGTGTATTGTGATAGTCTAAGTGCGATTTGCTTAGCTAAAGATCAAGTACACCATGATCGGACGAAGCACATTGATGTCAGGTATCATTTCTTACGTACTGACAAGAGGATTAAGGTGAAGAAGATTGGGACTGCTGACAACCCGGCTGATTTCTTCACTAAGCCTGTTCCGTTTAGCAAGTTTAAACATTGCTTAGACTTGCTAAATATTGATTACTACGTGATGTAGTAGGCCCTGAGGGGCGAAGTTGGGGAGCTCCTGGTGTAGGTGTGTTGGCATTAAGGTGGAGCTTGCCCGGGGCTTGTGATGCAGGTGGAG